CTGGTCTCGAACTCCTGAGCTCAAGCAATCCTCCCACCTCGGCCTCCCAGAATGCTAGGATTACAGGTGTGAGCCACCGCGCTCAGCCAGCAGCTCTTTTTTAAGTTCAGAAACCAGCAGTCTGCCACAAGGGTGAGGGGAGCTGAAGACCTCTCCACCTACCCTGTAATATTAAGTCCCCTGTTCAATCTCTGCCAGCTTCTTGCTTCTTTCTTTTTCTGTGTCATAGCTTCTTCCTGTGAGCTCTCCAATAGGCTCCAGCACCCTCCCCTTAGCACTGCACTTCAGCTATGATTACTCACCTGTAACTCTGGCTCTTCCTTCTGGGGAGAATTGGTGTTCAAAGTCTATAGTCAGCCATGTGGGGAAAAAAACTCTAGAGTCTATTTGAAGAAGCAATATAATTAGGATTCTTATAGGGCAAATAGATAATTGAACAAAATAACAAGTTCCAGTAATAAACATTCCCCGAGCAAATGACATTACTCCACTTGAGAAATAAGGCAGCTGTAAGAAATCAATGATAAAATGAGGTTCACATTGTGGCCTGTGTGTTGTCTCCCCATAGCAGGTGTGGGAGTCTTACCCGGACTACCTGATCCTTTAGCAATGGCTTACCCAATGATGGGGAGAGAACACTTTCCAACTTTGCAAGTGAAGGAGATGGTCCTGAAGTACTTCCCTGAGACCTGGATCTGGGACTTGGTGGAACTTGAGTGAGTTGTATGTTGCCTGGAATTTAGCCTAGGGGAGGATTTGAAGCCTGATCTGTGATTCTGGTGTCATCCTGGATTCCTGATCCTTCCAGTTCTGCTCCACTCTTTTCTGGGAAATATTAAGGTTCACAGTTTATTTATCTCATAGCTAAACAATGCTAACTTTTTTCTAATTTAATCCTTAGATAACTAAAGTAATAGAAAGCAAGAGCCTACTATCCTCTTTAAATAAAAGGAAGGGAAGGGGAAATGAAAAGGAGGAAGGAAGGAAGGAAGGAAGGAAGGAAGGAAGGAAGGGAGAAAGGAAGGAAGGAAGGAAGGGCTTTTAAAAGACAGCACTAGGAGCACCAAACTTTAGATCAAGTTTAGCATTTACCACACTAGGTTACTGAGTTATCATAGTTACATGATAACTATGGTTTGTGCTAAAAAAAAGATTTGTTTACATGCTGCTTCTTTTTTCTTTCACTAGCCCATCAGGTGGAAGCGAGTTGGCAATGAAGGTCCCTGACACCATCACGGAGTGGAAGGCCAGCACACTCTACTTGTCTGGAACTGCAGGGCTTCGCCTCTCCCCTGTCGTCTCTCCTGTAGCCTTCCAGCCCTTCTTCCTAGAACTCACCCTCCCCTATTCCGTGGGGGAGGGAAGCCTTCACACTCAAAGCCACTGTGTTCAACTACTTGTCCCAATGCATTCGGGTAAGGGCACTTCTCTGGAAGTGAGTGCAAACAGAAGGAAGGAATATAATCACCATGCTTCACCTAGGTCTCTGGGTAATGTAGCAAATCAGAACTGAATACGAGCTATATTAATTTTGGAACAGAGCAGATACTAAGAGCAAAGCTACCTGACAGCTCCAAGGTGGTAAGGTTGTATTCATCCAGTCCTCTATATCTGTGTATTCCTAAACTCACACATTATATCCACTTGGTTACTTCACTTTTTCACTCTGGCTAAAGAAAACATCTCTTCCTTGTGTTGGCACTAGACAAAATCCTAAGCATTTATCCTAGTTCCTGTTGGTTTTTCAATTCCCTTATTGCAAACACCTAAACTCCAAAGCATTTGATACAATTTACCTTGTTTAAACAGCTTGTCAAAGCCTCTGGATAGGTATGCATTATGCCTCCCAGGTTCTGCCCCCTGCCATCTACCTGTGTTCCTTCACAAACTTGTGGCTGGTGTGGTCAGGTCAGTGTGCAGCTGGAGGTCTCTTCTGCTTTCCTGGCCGTCCCAGTAGAGAAGAATGAAGAATCTCACTGTGTCTGTGGTAATGGGAAGAAAACCTTGTCCTGGGCTGTGACCCCAAAGTCACAGGGTGAGTGCTAATGCTGTTAACAAACTCCACTTCCTGTGTTGTGATGATTTGCTTTCCACTCTGACCCCAATACATGCTTTTGGACCTCCTTTAATACTGATCAAGAGAAAGAAAACCGTTAAATATAGTGGGAATGTTAAAAAGAAGAAACTATTCATATAGAGTCGCTGTTTAACTCCTTAAGAACCTTATTCCCTAGGAAATGTGAATTTCACAGCTACTGCAGAAGCTGTACAGTCTCAGGAATTGTGTGACAATAAAGTGCCTGAAGTCCCAACGCTTGGACAGAAGGATACTATAGTCAAGCCCTTACTAGTTGAGATATGTGGGTATACTCTCTCAGAGTCTCCGAGGCCTTGTTATATAATATAGCATTATCTAACATGTATGTGCCAGTGACACTTCATTCCCAAGAATATGAATGTGTCACCAACTCAATTATTCACTGACATTTTCTTTTCTACTTTGAAGTGATTCATTTTCCTTCTACACATTCAGTATCACTTTACTTTTTTATTGTTTTTCTGTCAATACATAGCCTGAAGGAATAGAAAAGGAGGAAATTTTCAACACACTGCTCTGTGCATCAGGTAAGTGTAAAAAATAGATTAAATTTTCATGTTTAGCCACCTGC